GTTAAAGAGTTGAGAGAGGGTTGTACCACAATTTACAACAAAAAAAAAATAAAGAAATAAAAACGAAAAAAAAAAATGAGTAGCCTTCTCGACTGTAGTGGCCCCCTTGGGCCTTGAGGAGGTGAATAATTAAAAAAAAAACAAAAAAAAACATGTTTGTATAAAATCTCTATAAAACTTTAAAAGTATATTGTATTTTAAAAAATCTTATAAAATAAAAAAATAAAAAAGTTGCCAGTGGTAGGACTCAAATTACGCCTTTGATGTTCAGAAGCTCTGCACGCTAACCACTTAGCACACTGGCATGTTGACTCTCACTTGGTCATGCTGGCACGCAAAATTTTTCAAAAGTATATAATAATTTTTTTTAACGGAAATAAATGCTATAGATTAAAATTAAGGAGAGCTTTACGCAATGCAATTTTCAAGTGAAAGTCAAGCTGTAAAACTTGATAAATATTTCAGTATGTTTTAATATTACTTAATTTCATATTTTCATACACTTTCGTTCACATTTTCTTAAAACAAAATGTGCTGCCACTCTTTCTTGCCACTACCAATGGTAGCAATGGCTACCAAGGGTTCCATGTCAAGCACACTCAAATGGGCACTACTAACACTAACTGGATTAAGTTCAGCAATAATATATATAGAATAAAACAATTATTGTTAGCATAGAGATGTTTGTATATGTGTGAGTTTTTGTCTCTCAATCATTCGTGTTTTAAGATAGCAAGAAGTTTCGCCTATATAAGAGAAATTACATCCTGCACAAACAAATTTTTAAACAACAGATGAACTGAACTCTACAGAGGATCTTTTGGTGAAAACATATTAGAAATTTTAAATGAGGTAAAAAGTAAATTAATGTTTATAAGTTTACAATGTTTTTTAATGATAGATTTTAAACTCTTTTTTGTTTGATTAGGTATATTACCAACATAAGGAAGTGTAAAGTAGTTTTAAATGATTTATTGGTTTTCGGATTTGTGGTGATTAGTAGAAATAGTTTTTTTGGTAAGATAAAAATTAAAATTTTTATTCATAAAATCAAGTTGGATACAAGTTGTTTTTGATAATGTTAAAAAGATTTTTAATGTCATAATAAAAACCAATAAAAACCAAATTAATAATACTTAGTATTATTAATTTTAAAGGTTCTATCAATTAAGCTTTTAATAAAATTTACCTTTAATTACAATTTAATTAAATTTTATTTAACGTAAAAAAGAGATGAGACTACAAAAGGAAGTATAAAGACCTGAATATGTTTCCTCATGAAAAATAGAGGTAGATAAGGATGTTTACTTTGTTTATGTTAATGTTCAAGAAAGAGATATTAGATTCATTTTCCTTTTCCATATTAAAAGATATTGAATTATGTTTTTTATTGATATAGTCAAGAAGATAACATGCATTGTCTGATAGAAATGTGGCAAAAATATCATCAACATAATGTTTGTAAAGTACTGACTTGACTCCATTGTATGATATTATCCATTTTTCTTCAAAATAACCCATAAATAAATTAGCAAATCTGTTTTTTAGATTGAAAATGTGATTGCAATGTTGCAAAGATGTAGAGTTTCTTTAAATCAGCTTTGATAATTTTAAGATTACTATTGCTTCCTCGAAGAGGTACATTAGTGTATAGGCTTGTGATGTCATAAGATTCTAAGCATTTTTCATGAATGTTAGCTTGATTCACATCTTTTAAAAAACTGAATGAATCTTTTGTACAAAACTCTGAAGCTATTATAGGTGACAGTAAATCTCTTAAAAACTTAGCTAATTGATAATTGTAGGTGCCGATTGACAAAACGATAGGTATGAAACTTAAATTTGGTTTTTCAGTACATAATTTATGCTTTTTTGGAAGACCATAAATACGAGCAGGTTGTGAACCTGAAGGATAAAGTTTTTTATATATTACATCATTGAAAAATTCTTTATTTTTTAATTTTCTTAAAAAGTTATGAAGCTGTGTTTCCCTACTAATAGTAACATCTTTATTAAGTTATTTAAACTTAGTTTGATTGTTTATTATTTTGTATATTTTTTTCTCATATGTTTTTCTGTCTAGAATGACAACATCATTTTTCTTTCTCTGGTTTTAATATGATGTCTGAGTTATTTTGTAACTTTTTTAATATTCCATGCTTTTTTAAGGTTTCTTTAAATGGATGATAGTTATTCCAATCAGAAGTGGCTAAGAAAGTTTTAAGTATACCTGAATCTTCCTTATTTTTCAAGTTATTCTGAAGAAATTGGTTAATTAGCTCAAAAGACGTGTATATATCAGCGCAATTAATATGTTTTGGTGTAAGTGAAAAACTTAAACCATTTTCAAGTATATCTGTTTCTTCATTAGAGAGCTTATAAGAAGAGAGATTTGTTATTATATTCGAAAATTTAAAGGGACTTTAAATGTTACAGTTTGTTAAACTTTTTAATTTCTTTTGATTTATCTTCAAAAACTTTTCATTTTCTTTTTCCGAATTGTGTTTCAACACTTTATATTTATATTTACATGGGCGAAACTTCTCGCCACCTTAAAAACATGAATGATTGAACACTACAGCAGAGACAAAAACTCACACATATAAAAACATCTTAATGTTAATAATAATTGTTTTAATAATTATAATAATGACTTTTTCTTGATATTGGATTCTGCCTCCAATAAATTTAAGCTTAATATTAAGGAAAGTTTCATTGAATGGAAAAATCCAGATATGAACAAACAATTAAACCATTATAAAATATCACTTTTCACGTAATAGTTACCATTAGTTGTTAACCTTTTGTTAAATTATTTAATAGTTAAATTTAATAACTTTTAACAATAAATTTAATAACTTTTAATAACTAAATTTAATAACTTTTAATAACTAAATTTAATAGCTTTTAATAATAAATTTATTAACTCTTAATTATAAATTTAACTTTTTTATTGTATTTTTGCTTATTTTGTTGTAATCTTGTTGTTGTAAATTTATAAAAAAAAAGTTTAGTTTATACTTTTACTTTTATACCTTTTAATATTTGTATATAAGATTATATGTGTATATGTATGTATGTATGTATATATATATATATATATATATATATATATATATATATATATATATATATATATATATATATATATATATATATATATACTTTTACTTTTATACCTTTTAATATTTGTATATAAGATTATATGTATATATATATATATATATATATATATATATATATATATATATATATATATATATATATATATATATATATGTATATATATATATATATATATATAATATATATATATATTATATATATATATATATCTATATATATATATATATATATATATATATATATATATATATATAAATATATATATATATATATATATATATATATATATATATATATATATATATATATATATATATATATATATATATATATATATATATATATATATATATATATATATATATATATATATATATATATATATATATATATATATATATATATATATATATTAAACATCTTCACTTCCAACAAGGCTGCTGCAATCACTATTAGAGTTTCCTGCTGCAAAGCCTGTTAAATGAACTTTGCTAAATTTTCCTCCAGCATAAAGTTCACCTTTCAGATTAAAGGTTTTTGTTGGAATCTGTTTATAAAATAAACCAAACTCTACAGCGTTGTAAATATCTCTCAATTTATACCTTGAGAGGATTGTGGGCTAATGATTGTGAGAGAATTGTGGGTCTGCTTTCAACTTGCTCTTCCTCTGTCCACAACGTTTCCTTGCCAGAAAGAGTTCGAAAAACAACATGTCAATTTTTACACCAATCTAGCCACCCTTCTAAAGCCTTAAAATCCGTTGTTTTTTTTAGTTCGTTTTTAAAATTTTCAAAGTAAAGCTTTCTTCCTAATAACGTGTTAACCAATTGGTACCTTTTGTTTGCGTTTTTAAACTATTTTTATACAGCCTTATCAATGAAATCATGGTTTCCAAAACATAACTTTTGTCTCTTTGCTCCAAATTGATTTTGACTTCTTTATGCTTAATCCAGTAAGTAAAAATGTTTTTAGGAACACTAAACTTTTTGGCTGCATTATTTTTACATTGACTTTTTTTTCCAAATCTTTAAAAGCATGATATTTATTCTTGATTGTCAATACTACTTTCTTTCATGTAGACGCCATGTAAAAATTTTTTTATGGTGTCTACGTTTAATGTATTCAATTTTTTTATATCTTGATAATGTTGTTTTTTTACATATTTTTTGATTATATTTGATAAAATTATATGTTGAAATGCAATACAATGGTACCTTCAGCCAAAGAAATACTTAAAAAACTTTAAAAAAGACAGAGTGTTTGTCAAATTGAACAAAAAATTACTTAAAATAAATGAAATTTTGAATAACTGCAGGTTCGAATAACTGATGAATATTTGCCTCAGTTTGTTAAGTGAAATTCACATGGAATAAAAATTGCTTCAAATAAGCAGAAAGTTTGAATAAGTGACGGTTCAAACAACTGGAAATTTTAAGATAGATGAACTAAAACTTAAGTTATTGTAAAGTGATTTACTGTTGATCTATCTGGTCATTTTCAGTCATGTTGCAAATTTTTCCAAATGAATTTTGAAATTCTTTATATTATTTTAAAAATAATTTAATTTCTTTTTTATTAACTTAAATATAATTAAAAAGTTTAAACTCTTACATAATATGTAATTAAATATGTATATATATATATATATATAGATATAGATATATATATTATATATATATATATATATATATATATATATATATATATATATATATATATATATATATATATATATATATATATATATATATATATATATATATATATATATATATATATATATACTTAATAATATTAAATTTTTTATAAAATTAAATTCTCAATGACTCTAGTTTGTTTTAAAGTTTAAAAATATTTTAAAATACTTATTTAAG